GCCCTCTTTCCCCCATGTAACCCTGGACACTGTCTCCATCCTCACCGCAACCAACACTCCTCTGCTGTGCTCCATTCCTGGGGGAATGGAAGCTGTTCTCATAGGCCCAAACACCTAATGCTGAAAGACTCCTTTTATTTTGCAGATAGAGAAATGGAGAATCAGTAAGAACTGACTTGCTAAACCCCTTCAGAGTTAGGAGCTGGGCAGGGGCTACTATGCAGATCTCTGTGATTCTGGCCAGTGCAACTTCCACTGCACTGCACTGGTCCACCTTGGGTCAGACACCTGCAGATTCTGCACATGCTGCCCAGCACTCCATCAGTGGTGCTGATGCCGCATGGCTGCTCTGGCCCAGAGATGTCAAGGAGGACCAGCACTCAGTGCCCTAGCTTATGCAGTATTGTCATTCTTCCCCCCTTGATACTGCTTTTTAAAATAACAGCTTTAATGAGATATAATTCATAAACCATAAAATTCATCCTTTTAAAAGTGTAGATCAGCAGTTTTTAGTATATTGAGTCCTGCAGTCATATAATTCCAGGATATTTTCATCATCCGAAAGAGAACCTCATTACTCGTTAGCAGTTGTTCCCCATTGCCTGTCCCCCAACCCCAGTCCTAGGCAACGACTAATCTACTTTCCATCTCCACAGATTTTCCTATCCTGGACATTTCATCTAAAGGAAATCATATCATATGTGGCTTTTTATGTCTGGCTTCTTTCACTGAGCATGTTTTCAAGGTTCATCTATGTTGTAGCATGTGACTACTTCATTACTTTTTATGGCCAGATAGTATTCAATTGTATGTATATACAATTTATTTATCCACTCATCAGCTGGTGAACATTGGGGTTCTTTGTACTTTGGAACTATTATGAATAGTACTGCTATGAACATCTGTATACAAGCTTTTGTGTAGATAAACGCTTTCAATTTTCTTGAGCATAATACCTGGGAGCAGAATTGTTGGGTCATATGGTAATCCCACATTTAGCTTTTTGAAGTACTTCCAGGCTGTTTTCCAAAGTAGCTGCATCACTTTTCATTCCCATCAACAATCTGTTCCACTTACTCTACATTCTCACCAACATTTGATATTATCTCTCTTTTTTGTTTTAGCTATCCCAGTGGGTGTGAAATGGGCCTGTCATTTACTTGGGTCACTGCAACAATCTCTTGCTCAACAGTCCCCTTGCCTTCAGGCTTTCTCTTCCCACCCTCTTCCCTAATGGGGTTGCCAGTGATCTTTCAAAAACTCAGTCTGATAGAAACCCTTCATGGCTCCCCCAACACTTCTTGGCCTGGTACGTAAGGTACTCACTGATATGGCCCCTGCCCAGCTCCTCAGTGTCATCTTCTAATTCTCGCTGCCCCCCCACACCCCACTGCACACTTCTATATTACATGCTTTTGCTCATGCTGTCTTCCCTGCCTGCAATGCCCTTCCCTCTACCTCTGCCTAGACACTGTTCAAGGCTGAATTCAATGTCACCTCTGTGAGGCCTCCTCTGACCCCCGCAAGCAGCAGAAGTTTTTGCCTAAAAGAAATTCACAGCTTTATGGAAGAAGACAGAAATGCAGACCACTGACCATATAATATGATAAATGCAATCCTTATTACAGGGCTGAATAAACCATTCCGGGAGCTCAGGAGAGACACAGACCTCCTCTATTCTTGGATTGCTATGGAATAATGTTTGCTGGATGTATGAATGACTGAACAAATAAAGAACTATTTTTAAACAGCAAACCTATGGAAGGGTCTGAAGGAGGTTTAGCTCCAGCCCTGGGGAGAGGACAGAGAAACAAAATGACTCTTCCATATACTCCCTTGGGTCAAGGGCAGTGACAGAAAGGTCACTATGGCTGAAAACAGAAGGCCAGGGAATTTCTCAGGAGTGTGTCAGTGGTGGAAAGGAGGAGGGGGCTACTTGGTCCTGTTCATCAGGCAGCGGCACGGACAGTGACTGTGAGGCTGAGCAACTCCCCACACAGACCCGGTAGCCTCTCATGAGGAATTCATGAGTTACTCCAGGTGGTTCCCCTTCCCAGGGACTGTTGAGGAGAGTCAAAAACTTCCAGAGAGATAAATAGTATATTATTCTACTTATATGAGGTACCTAGAAAAGTTAAATAGTCAAATAGAGACAGAAAGTAGAACAGCGGTTGTCAAAGGGTGGGAAGAGGGGGCAATGGGAGTTACTGTTTGATGTAGACAGAGTTTTAGGTTGACGAGATGAAAAAATTTTGGAGAAAGAAGGTGGTAGTGTTTGTACAACAGTGTAAATGTACTTACTACCACAGAACTGTAACTTAAAAATGATTAAAATGGTTAATTTTGTTATGTAATATTTTACCATGATTAAAAAAGAAAAAAACTGCCAGAGGCACAGAAGAGTGTCACAGGCCTGGTGACACCCAGGCTCCTGGGCAGGACAGTTGAACGGTAATGGTGCTACAGGAAGTCACTAACCCCTTAGTGTTTAGGCTACTGGTTTGAGGAAAGTTTTTCATCACTCAAGGCCTGGTTCAAATGCAACCTCTCCTGCAAAGACTTTCTTGATTCAAATAATAGGTCATTTTGGCATTAATTGTAATTATTAGTACTTCCTACAATCTGAGTACTTAAATGGCTAGAACCGTATCATATTCATTTCTGTGTCCTCATTCACTCATTCAACAAACATTGGATGCCAATTCGGTGCCAGGCTTTATGCTGGATATTGAGTATAAGAGAATAATTTTTCTCTTATGTTCTGAATGTTACAATAAGAACTTTGGCCCTTTCAAAAACATTGGAGAGAAAGCATTTGCCCTTGCTCCCACATTTAACTGGCTCCTCCTCACCAAAGGAGAGATTTATCTAACAGGTAAAATACTAGCCTACCATTTTCTATGCCATCAGGACAGGATCAAGGTATTAAAGGTCATGCTCCCACGAACTTAAACTCTTAAGATCGCAACCAGGTGGCAAAGTGTCCATAATGTAAACATAATTTCCCTGCCTGTAGGCTCCTGGTCTGGCCTGGGGGAAAAGAGGGTGGTTTAAAAGTTCTCTTTGGAAAAAAAATAAAAAATAAAAAATGAATGAATGAATTAAAATAAGCTCTTTTTGGATAGATATAAAGCAAGTATATGAAAATGTTAATGGTAGAATCTAGGTGGTGGGTATATGCTGTTTTAGTTAGACTTGGCCTCTCACTAAAATTCTTTCACCTTTGCTGTATATGAAAAACTCCAGACCAAAAAAAAGCCCAGTATGACCTGAAGTCCCAGCTACATTCTCCTACAGCGTTTACTGGAAATAAAGCTGATGTTTTGGTTCTCATCTGATTCCTGATTTTTTTGAACCCACAAGGGGAACAAGACACAAAGATTAGTCATACACAATTCCTACCTTTAAGGAGCTCACAGACTGGGGAAGACTGATATGAAAACGGGGACTTACACCAGAGAGAGCTAAGTGTAGAGAGCCTTGTGCATGGATGTGCTGGCGGAACAAGCTCGGCAACCACAGTGCCAGCAAAGGGCCACTCCTGGGGCATCCTCTATCTCCTTACATTTCCAACTTTCCCCATACTGTGCACAGGCCCAGGGGGGATCAATCCTTGAATATAATCTCCCACAATCAACAGCCATATCATGTATGTGCAGTAATCATCTGGACACCAAATAGAGTCTACTCAAATCAAGGCCCCCATCCCACCCCCAGGAAGTCTCTGCAAGTCCTCTCACTCATTTGCTGGCTCCCCCCACCTCCCTCCTCTTGTCCCATGAATGACTTGCCATCAGATCAGACCGAATCTGTCTCCCTTGGACAAGCTCCAAAGGGCAAGAAAAGAGAGTACAAGTCTAACTAAAGCAGCATAAACATCTAGGGCTTCAGTCACCCTATGGTGACCAGCTCATATTTGAAAGTAATATACAATAAGCTTCTTAAAAGAGAAGAAAGTCCTGGGGAATCAAGGGTGTCCCAGAGGCCAGGGACAGGGAATGAGTCCATACCAGAGAGAAAAATGGTGCTGCCATCAAGATAAATGCCAGTACTGTTACCCCCCCCTGCCCTTGGGGAGGTAGGACAAGTCATGTGGTCTTTCCAGCCCAGCTCAAGCACCTCCTCCAGGAAACCTTCTCTGACAGCAACTCTTCACTAACCCTACACCAGCCTATTAGTTACACCCGGTACTCCCACAGTGCAGTGTGTCCCTTTAGCCTCAAACTCACCACACTGTGTTATCACCTCTTGTCTATATGGCAGCCCCCCACCAAATGCTCACTCCTCAAAGGCAGGCGCCTGACATATCTCCATGCCCCCACCACTCTTCATAGTATTTGATGGCTGGATAAACAATGATCTCCAAAAGTCCTCTAAGCTGTGAATCATAAAACCCTCTGAGGTAGACATCTATTGTTTTGGCTTACACAAAATTCACTCCTTTTTCTGTGAACAGTTTTCTTTTGCGGAACATCCCTCTTTCGTGTTCAGTCTACATGAGTTACAGAGAGCTGACTATATGCCCCAGCCTCCAGGAGAGGGCGCTGGCCCAAGCCAGGTCAACTAGAGCATCCTATGGCCCAGCCACAGTGACTGGCAGGTTACCCAAGCCAGGCTAATGAGACTCAGTTCCGGGGACTGCTGGGACAGAGAAAGTCTCTTGCTGCTGGAAAGGTGCTGCTGTTGGTCATCCTACCATCCCATGAGAACAAAGCTGAGAGAAATGCAGAACCAAGACATGGAGACAGAGTTCTGATGACATTGTCTGAGCCTCTGGGATCCACCTGGGCCTGAAGCCAGTGCTGACCTCTAGCCTTCTCAGTTATGAGCCATTTTGAGTTTCATTTCTGTCACTATAACTTTAAAAGTCCCAATTAATCCACCCTCCAATCCTGGAGGAAATACCAGGTTCTTAACAGGCAGCCACCCTTTCGTACTGTTGTTCTGGGAGAAGCAGACTCCACTGACAGGGTCCCACTCAGCAAGGGCCTTACCTGCACCAAAAGGTTCTGCAGTCCAATGACCAGGGACAACACCTGTGATGTTCTCAGTGGAGCTAGGACAGTGTTCTCAGGGGCCGGTGGTGGCTGGGTCCCTGAGGGCACCAGTACCACAAGGGCAGAGGAAAAGCTTTGTTGCAGGGCTGTCCGCAGGAAGCATAAGATGGCAGCTAAAAGCAAGAAAACCTTTATACTTGGGGCGCCTGGGTGGCTCAGTCGTTAAGCGTCTGCCTTCGGCTCGGGTCGTGATCCCAGGGTCCTGGGATCGAGCCCCGCATCGGGCTCCCTGCTCAGCAGGAAGTCTGCTTCTCCCTCTCCCACTCCCCCTGCTTGTGATCCCTCTCTCGCTGTGTCTCTCTCTGTCAAATAAATAAATAAAATCTTTAAAAAAAAAAAAAAAGAAGAAAGAAAACCTTTATACTCAGTTCCTGCCTCCTTCCCCACCTCCCACCTAGCTCTGTCACAGGGGGAAGACAGTGGAGATAATAATGGGGTGACCATAGGCTGATCTGGGGGGAGTGGTCCCATCTCACAGTCTAAGAGAAAAGCTCTTCTTTTCCTGCTAGAGGCCCTTGGGGCCATACCTGAGAGAAGCGCAGCCTTTTTCTTTGGAAAGCTGAGGACCTTCAATACTTGGTCCAGTTCCACGGACAGTGTCTGGTGAACCTGGTAGAGCAGAGGTAAGGGGACAAGCTCCCACATTCTGGCAGCTTGAGCAGAAAACAACCTGTCCCAATATCTCCTATGTACCTGCACATACCCATTGCATCCAGGGGGACAGAGGAGACAGTCTTGGGAGCCCACCAGTCCTGGATTCAGGAAAGTGAGGCAAATTAACCTGTACATAGAAAACCCTTCTCCCAAATATCCCCCATCGTCAATGAACTCTTCCACCAGGGAGCCTCCCTGGCCTCATCTGTGATTCAGGCTCCACCTCAGCCCACCATCCAACTAACATAGATCTAGAGTCAGACAGCCCAGAATCAAAACCCTGGCTCTGCCACTAGCTAGCCGTGTGGCCAAGGGGAAATCACTGCCCCTCTCCCAGCCTGCCTTATTTTCTTCATGTATGAAATGGGAATAATGCCACCTGCTTTCACTCCCTCCAGAACCATTGTGAAGAACAGCTGAGGATCAGCACTGGGGAACATGCTCTTTAAAGTCAAAGCAATGTCCAAACTGAGGGGTTAGTTGGGAGTGGTGAGTTCAGAGCTGAGTCTGCTCTGCTCTCCTCACCCAGAATACATGCTGCTTCAAGGCAGGAATTACTTCTCTGCTTGGATCTATCAGTCTGACACAAAGCAGTTCCTCAAAAATGCTTGTTGGCTAGTGGGATCAGCAGGTTCTAGGCAGAAGAACCAATTTGTACAAAGGTACTGAGATAACATACTAATGTAAGATGTTAATAGAGGAAACTGTGTGGGAGTTATTTGGGAACTCTCTGTGTTATCAGCTCATTTTTTCAGTACACCTAAAACTGTCTTAAAAATAAAAGCTACTGGGGGCGCCTGGGTGGCTCAGTTGGTTGAGCGACTGCCTTCGGCTCAGGTCATGATCCTGGAGTCCCGGGATCGAGTCCCACATCGGGCTCCCTGCTCAGCGGGGAGTCTGCTTCTCCCTCTGACCCTCCTCCCTCTCATGCTCTCTGTCTCTCTTGCAAATAAATAAAGTCTTAAAAAAAAAAAAATAAAAGCTACTGGGACACCTGGGTGCTTAGTCAAGTGGCTTCCTTCGGCTAAGGTCATGATCCCAGGGTTCTGAGATCGAGTCCCACATTGGACTCCTTGCTCAGTGGGGAGTCTGCTTCTCCCTCTGCTTGCTGCTCCCCCTGCTTGTGCGCTCTCGCCCTCTCTCTCTCTCTCTGACAAATAAATAAAATGTTAAAAAAATAAAATAGGGGTGCCCAGGTGGCTCAGATGGTTGAGCACCTGCCTTCAGCTCAGGTCGTGAGCTGATCTCCAGGTCCTGAGATTGAGCCCCACGTCAGGCTCCCAGCTCAGCAGGGAGTCTGCTTCTCCCTCTCCTTCTGCCTCTCCCCCTGCTGGTGCTCTCTCTCTCTCCCTCAAATGAATAAATAAAATCTTTTAAAATTTAACTAATTAATTAATTAAAATAAAGGCTATTAGAGGTGCCTGGATGACTCAGGTCATGATCCCAGGGTCCTGGGATCGAGCCCCACGTCGGGCTCCTTGCTGGGTGGGGAGCCTGCTTCTCCCTCTGCTTCTGCCGCTCCCCCTGCTTGTGCTTGCTCGTCCCTCTCTTTCTCTCTCCCTCCCTGTCAAATAAATAAATAAAATCTTTAAAAAAAAATAAAGAATCAATCAATCAGTCAAACCATCAACAGTATGGAGATGTGAAAGAGCACAGCTGATCTGGAGAAGAGCTAACAGTTGGTCAGAGGACAGAGAAGGAGGGTAGAATGGCAGAAAGGAAGGCTGCAGAAGGGCCAGGTCAGCAGGGTCTCCGCGGCCATGTGGAGAGTGCAGACAGACTGGCTGCAGGGACAGGAGATATGGAGCAAGGGAAAGGCCAGAGACCAGGAAACTGAATAGGCCACTTTAGTGGTGAGGACGAACCATCAGGCCTACGCTAAGGCAGTGGGGAAGACTTAGAGTGGAGGTGGTTAGTAGGTAATTGGCTGGGTGTGAGCTGAAAACCAGGGCAAGCCAGGCACACGGTACAAGTTCCCACCCAGGCAGGTGACTGCAGGGGTACAGGTGGGCCCAACAACCTCACACAGAAAAGCAGAAAAGGTTCGTGTCCCAAATCGATGCTGTGGACAACAACCAGAGGACTTTACTATAGTATAGATTTGCCACAGCCTGATGCCACCTCAGAGGCCAAACGTTTTTTGTTGTTGTTTTTTGTTTTTTTGGAGGCCAAACTTTAAAAATGACCTTACTTCTATACAAATGGCACTTGAATGGCACAGGGCTGGGCACAGGGCAAAGACACCTCAAAGGCTAGATCGTTTCTATCCACAAGGAGCAGACAGGCTTAGGAAGGAGACTGAATGTGGAGCAGCCCACAGAGGAGCTCACGCAGGGCACTATGATGACAAGGTCCCATACAAGGGGGTGGGGAGGGACTGAGAGGAAAGAGGTGCTCTGTGGATATGTTCACTGTTCCCCTGTTCCCTGCATCACCTTCCCCAAGAATCACAATGACAGCTCACACATGTCTGGCATTTCACGGCTTACCACCCAGCACTATAAGGTCATAGGCTGGCTTCTGCCTTCCTGTGCAATCTGACAGTTCACTCCCTACATTCTAGTCACACAGTACCTCACCAGTCTCCAAATGTGTACACCATGTCCTAAATTTGTGCAGTTTCATGTCTTTGTTCAAATTGTTCTCTTTACCTAGAATGCCTTTCCCTACTATCTTTGCCTGGTACAACCTTACTTACATTTCGAGGCTTTGCTTAAAGACTACAATACAAGTTTCCCAAGTGTGGGGTACATGGGGTACCTATTTATTTCTTATTCCTCTGTGCCTAGAACACAGCCTGGCATGTAGGTTATCCATGTATGATAAATTAATATAAACCAACCTGACAACAACCCTGGATGTTTTCTTCCCCATTCTGTAGGCAAGGACACTGAAGCTCAGAGAATAAATACCTTGCCAAGGTTACTCAACTAATAAGCCACAGAGCTAAAACCAGAACTCAAGAACTTTGTCACTCCTCTGTGTGCCACCCCATGCCCCTAAGCCACAGGGGCTAGTGACTCACCTGCAGACTGCCATTGTGCTGCTTAGCAGAGAAGGAAGCTGTGAGCAGCCAGGCGGAGCAAAGGAGTGTGGTCCTGGGAGAGCCCACCTCGGTCCAGGTGAGTGCCAGAGTCTTCTCCAGAAGCTCAATCAGGGTCGTGCTGCTAAGGAGCACTGCAGCAGCTGGAGATGGTGTGGAGGGGCAAGGGCCATGAGTTCCACAGGAGCCCCTGCTCGGTGCCGCATCGTGGTTAGTACCTGACGGGGACTTCATGCACACATGGTGAATGAACAAAAGGATCAGCTTTAGGCTCTAAGGGTTCCAGCTTCATTCTAGAACCACAGGTATCAGAACCAGAAAGGACCGTCTGGCCCATCAACATTCTCCCCATATATATTTTCTTTTTTTTTTTTTTTCCCATATATATTTTCATAAGTGGAAAAAACTAAGGGCAGCAATGGCCACAGACACTGCCCAGCACCCTTCCTATTCATTGTCTCAGCCGGGGCCCCAGCACCTCTTTTCTGACTGCTTGGTGTAGTCTGATGAAGGCTCCAATACAGGAAGTTGAAGGAGGGCTGCAGGATGTCCACGTCAGCAGGGCTGCATTTCCCACACAGCTTGCTCACTGCAGGAGAGTGCCCAGACACCCCATCATGTAGCACTCCATGGATTTCATGCACACCAGCCCTCATAATTCTCACAGATAATGGCCTTCAACTGGCTAATTTCGGATATCAGTCTACCAGTCTTGGGGACCAAGCACAAACTAAGTGTCCCTGGTAATACAGCCAAGGAAGAGAAACACAGTAACAAGGAAGAGAAACCTGAAGGCAAGCAGCCCACAGCTTAGAACAGACTGCACTGCTTAGAACAGACTACACAAGTTTATGTGATCTAAAGGCATCCTATAACAGCATTCATACCAGCAAAGACTCCAGGTTGGAGAGTCTGCAGAGATCATCTAGGCCAACCTGCCACCCCTAGCAGGAAAAGATCCAGCCTCTGAAATCTTCCAGCAATGGGGCACTCACCACCTTCCCAGGGGACTCCATCACCATCAGTGTGCAGTTCCCTGAATTTGCCATATTCTCTCTCACATCACCCTCATCTGGCTAACTCCTTAACTCCTATTCAGCAATCAAGATTCAGCTCAAAGTTCACCTCCTCCATGAAGCCCTCTGTAACCTCTTAAGGCAAGATTTGATGCCTCTTCATGCTCCCCCAGCCCTCATCAGAGTAGTTACTACTCTGTAGAGCAGACACCTATAGAACATATCCCTTTTCTCCTAGGATCCGGCACTCTTTGCTCCCCTGACCCACATCGCCTCAATATGAAACCTTCCTAAGTCTCCATTCACTGTTTTGGCGGCCACATCACACTTGAGTTCTAAGTGACCAGACAAGCAGCCCCCTCCTCACCCCTGTCCTCTACTCGCAATGTTCTCAAATAAAAGGGTTATATATAAATGTATATTACATTTCACATGTATGTTTCCGGTCACTATTATCCCCTTCAGAGGCCCTTTTGACAGCAGTTTGATTTTGTCACAGGTATTCTTCCCTCCCAGTTGAGTATTAGCCTTGACAGACAGTCTGGGAGGACCAGCACCAGGCCATGCCTGAAGGCCCTTTTTAAGACTGACACCTATCTCATGAGGAGGCCTGGGCTCCAGCCAGGTAAAGAACCATCCTCACCTGTGGCCAGAGCCCCCGACACTCCACAGGTACTGAAGACACACCATTTTTCCTATTGATTTCAGTATTTCCTCAATAAATCTTCCTAAGGATGCTGCCTATCAAGTGGCAACTGCATTAATCAGCAACGAAAGGTCCTAATGAGGTTTGGGTATGGGTGGAAGAGGCCTAGAGAACTGTGAAGTGGATTATCAGACCCTGAGTCAGTTGTGGAGTGAGGTGGAACAAGAACTGAGCTTGTGCCAGGAAAAGGGAGTCTGCACAGAGAGTTGCATTGGAGGTCTACTGTGTGCCAAGCATTGTGAGCATTTGGCACTAGTTACCCCTTACCTCAACTCTAAATGAGCTAAGTACTACTGTTTTACCTGTGAGGAACCTAAAGCTAAGTGACTGCCCAAGGTTGCATAACTAGTGACTGAGAACAAACCCAGGCATTCCTGACTCCAGAGCTGTGCCTATCACACACAGTGTCCTGTTTTTGTTTTTGTTTCATTTCCCAAACACTCTCACAGTACAACTAGAGAAAGATCTCAAAGCCATTGCTGTCCCATAGCAAGAAGCTCACAGGAACAGTGACCCACTAGCTTCTTCCAAAGGGCTAAATGATGGAATAAAGGAGCATGACCAGCCCTGGGCCCTCAGGCACTGTCCCAAGCCCAAGCACCTTGGTGAAGAAGCTTCATGGCCATACTGTCCAGTTCTTGCTCTGACGTGTTCTTCAGATGCACTAAAGAAAGGAGGCTCAGGAGCAATGGCAGGTTCCCCGAGGCTGTGAGGAACAAGGAGGGCTGGTCAGGAGACCTAATACTCACATCACCCCAAGGTCAGACAGACACCCTACCCCACTGTAAATGTTTGTTGGGATTCACTCCTACTTCCTGCCTTCTTCCTTGGGAACAGGAGCAACTGACATATTGAGTGCCAACTCTGGGCTGGGTACCAAAAAATTTAATATTTCACTTAATCCCCCTTGTGAAATAGGGATTATTTCCATTTTGCAGTTAAGAAAACAGGCTCAGAGAGGCTGAGTGACTTCTCCAAGCTCCCACAGCCAGTTAGTGGCAGGGCCAGGACTTGAACCTAAATCTGAGTTCAATGCCCACTTTTTTCAACTATGTTTCCACGAAATCTCATGGCTCTTATACGTTATTATCAGTTAGATATGACTTATCCTTCCCAGAAAAAGAAGGACTCAGCTCCTCCAGACACCCTTAAATCTACCTCCAAACTTCCATCCTCAGTCAGGACTGGATCAAGTGAACCATAGCTCTCCTCCCACTTCCTCTTAATTGCTTGGAAATTTTAAAATTTAATTTTTTAAAAATAGGAAAAGATAAGCCAAATGCCAACCTTTTCAGTGTCTTTAAACTGTACCAAACATCAAACTTCTTTGACTCCAGGGAGTCCCATTCCAGATTTGGAAACTATGCTTCTGGATCTCACTGGCAGCTTCTAACACATTTCAGATCCACCCCCTTCCCAGCCACTGCGGGCTGCTGCTGCCTTCCTGGCCTCCCCTATTATTTCCCGCTTTCTTCTCCCCAACTGGAGGCTACCATTCTTGTGACAAACAGCTCTGAGCACACACCATGCAGGGTGGGGACATGCATGCATAGCCTGAACACACCCGCCTATGCTAAACACACAGAAATATTAAACATAAACACATGCACTCCACACGCGCACACACACATATATCAAATATGTTGAGTGCTCATTCTCTGATGAGAGCAAGGAGGTAAAGTTTAGCCTGATGCCACACTGGCCTGATTTTTATTTTGCAGAGAAAACTCTGATTCTTTCTCCTGGAGCAGACCTCATCAGGGCAGAGATGCCCACTCCTGAGTTTCAGGTAAAAACATGCCCCCGACAACTCCAGACTGACCTCCTGAAGGAGAGGCCCCATGTTCCACCAATAGATGCTGTAGGATCAGCAGGAAGTGGCCTCGGATGAGACCACCCACTTCGACATCCTCATTCTTCCTCAAAAAGGTCCTTAGGACAATTAGTACTTTCCGGGCTGTGTCCACTGGGCTGGAATAGATGAGATCCTGAGCAGGAGAAAAGGAAGCCAGAGCTCAGAGGACATCATGGTTGGGGACAGGTAAACAGTGAAAAAGAGAGGGACTGGGGAAGGACCCAGGATGATGGTGTCATAAAACCTGGGGAAGGGAGTGCTCCCTTACTTGGCACCTGTTATGTACTAGTCTGTTGAACAGGTCCATCCTAAATAGGAAGAAACAGAGACTCAGAGAGATTATGTGGTATGCCAAAGGTCACCCATGCCAGTAAGTGGCACAGCTAAGATGTGAATCTCCTACCTCCAAGCCCAAAGCTCTTTCTACTTTCCAGGATGCCTCTCTCTGACAAATATAAGTTTTAGGGTCAAGAAGAGGTTATTTCAGGACAGGGGACCTGAATGTGCCTTAAGGGAGGAAAATAGAGGGGGATGAAGATGTCACAGGGCAGGAAGAGGATGGGTTAGGACAGATTCGGGGCACAGGAAGGGAAGCAAGGACCAGGTCAGGCCCCTTCTCTTCCATAGCATCTGGCTATTTCTGCCCCAAGCTGTAAAGGCCTTGGGTTCAGAAGGTAGGAAAGGACACTGCTTTTTATTTGCTTTCAGATTAATTTTAATGAGTATATGTTAAAGGCAAAGGCAGTCAGAAGCCCCACCAGAGACTATCCTACTGATAGCTCCTGGCACCTACCAGCTCAAACAAGCCAATTCCTTTGGACAGGCTAACATGCTTGGTGCTACGAATCCAAGGTCACTCACAGACTCCCTCTCCAGGGAGGACAGCTGACACACAAAAAGACATGGCTACAGGGCACCCAGCCAGACAACTCCAGATGTGATCACTGGGTGACACGGGGGCATCTGGGCTTGGCTCTTCACAAACATCCACGGCGACCAGAGAAACAACTATAAATCAATAGCAGTTGCTCAATTAGGGACTAATAATGTCAGGTACTGTGATGTGTTCCAACTGTAGCTGTATGTTTGTTGATATATTATCTGTATCTTCATAACTCTTCTAGGTAGGGGTTACCCTAATTTCTCAAATGAGGAAACAGGCAGATTAAGACAGCAGTGGCACTGTAAATTCTACTATACTAAGAGTTAATGAAAAACAAGGATGAGGTTTGTCTTTGTCACCTCAGAGGGACTCAGAAAACATCTCTGGAAGGAGACGACCACAGAATAGGAGGATTAGAGAGACTCTCAGTTCATGTAAATCAACCCTTTTACTTTACAGGGTATGAGGCTAAAGCCCAGAGTGGCTATGATTTGCCCAAAGTCACAGGACCCAAAGCCAAAACAATTTCCTGATCCTGCTCCTTCACCAGCACTTGGCTGCCTAACCAGAGAGCTGGTCCTTCAGAACCCTGAGTTAAATTTTTTTTTTTTT